ATAATCCAACCTTTTAGCGGTCTTCTTTTAATAGTCCCACATTTTCGTTTTTCATGAATAATCCAACCTTTGCACCTCATCTTCATTCACTGGTCCCTGACCGGTTGATGACCTGCTATTCCAAGTTATTTTCTTATCTTTGCAAAATATTATCTTTGTGAAAGGTGGAATTTATGGTATAATAGTTTGCAGAGATAAGAAAATAACTCGGAATAGCAGGTCATCAACCGGTCGGGGACCAATGAATGAAGATGAGGTGCAAAGGTTGGATTATTCATGAATAACGAAAAGGTCGGACTATTAAAAGAAGACCGCTAAAAGGTTAGATTATTAGTTTCCATTTTCCCTATATATAATAGTAAATTAGTAATTTTTACTTATTATATATATTGCGCACTAATTAAGTCTACTTTATTTAGTACAGAGTAAGCTAATATATAATATTGTCTGTAAGCTAATATTAGCTTACAGAGTAAGCTAATATATGTGTAGGGGTGCGGGCGCACATGTATAATCAGTGCTCAGTAGGGTTTAGTAGGGTTTGATTGTGAAGGTACTAGAAGATATTATCATATTCGTGAGACATATTTATTGATCATGCTTCAGACTTTCAGAGAGCTAAAAGAGAACTCTCATTTAAGGGGTTGAGGGTCTATGGGATTCAAACACAAATAAGGGCATTTGTAATAAGGTTGGCCTAATCATGAAGGAAAATTGTTTATCTGCAAAGAATCCTAAGAATCAAATAAAAAGATACAGGAAAACGCACCAATGACCTCACCACACGAGAACTAAATCCCAATCACACATGGTCTAATAAAGATTAGATGGAATTCTCTATTTTAATTTATATGGAGTTTTACTACTTGGTAATTAGGGTAGGGCGTTTTAGTTTGTTTATTATCCCTCGTTTTTTTTTTACTTTTCCTGTTTTCTCTTTTATCTTTTCTTTGTACTCTCATTCACTCGTTAATAAAAAAAATCCTTTCCCAAAAATAAATAAATAGTTTATGTACGTGCATGTATGCATGTATACATATATAACTATCACATTTATATATATAGGGGATGATTCAAATAAAAAGTGGTCTTCCCGTGCAAAGTGCCAAATTTGCACTTTTTCATATTTCGCTTGCACGTTTTCTTGTTTTCATTGCACTTTTTTGCGGTAACGAATAAAATTGGGTTATTTACAAAATTGCCACCGTCATTTTGGCCGAATTTGGCCAAAATCGCAATGGTGAAAAAGCGCAACGAAACAAGCAAAAATGCAAGCGAAATATGCAAAAGTGCAAATTTCGCACTTTGCACGGGAAGACCACTTTTTATTTGAACTCTTCCCTATATATATATATATATATATATATATATATATATATATATATATACACATACATATATATATGTACATATATATATATACACATACATATATATATGTATATATATATACATACATATATATATGTATATATATATATATATATATATATATATATATATATATATATATATATATATAGAAAAGATCAGGTCCCTCCGGAGGGACGGGAGGGACCGTCCGGCCAAGGCCATCAGAGGGCCTTCCCGGTGGAATTTTTTGATGAAATTTTTTGAGCATGTTCCTCATCAAGTCTAGTTTATCCATACCAAATTTCAGCTAAACATTCAACCGGGAAGGCACTCAAATGATTTTTGGAAGATAACTGCGTTTTATATGTATATAAACTGCGCAGTTAACTTCCAAAAATCATTTGACTGTCTTCCCGATTGAATTTTTAGCTGAAATTTGGTATGGATAAACTAGACTTCATGAAGAACATGCTCAAAAAATTTCAGCAAAAAATTCCACCAGGAAGGGCCCCAAATGGCGACGGCCGGACGGAGGGTCCTGTCCCTCCGGCTGGACAGGATCAGGCCTATATATATATATACACACACACACACACACACACACAAATGTTCATGTCCAGAATTCCGGACAGGAACCGCCGTCCGGACGGCGGCGTTTGGCCGCCTTCCCGGTGGTTTTTTTATATGAAATTTTTATGGCATGTTCTCCATCAAGTCTAGTTTATCCACAAAAAAATTCAGCCAAAAACTCATTCGGGAAGGTCGTCAAATGATTTTTGCAAGTTAACTGGTCCGGAAAATACATATTGAGTTAACTTGCAAAAATCAATATTCTGGACCAGTTAACTTGAAAAAATCATTTGACGACCTTCCCGATTGAGTTTTTGGCTGAATTATTTTGTGAATAAACTAGACTTGATGGAGAACATGTGATAAAAATTTTATCGAAAAATTCCACCCGGAAGGCAGCCAAACGCCGCCGTCCGGACGGCGGTTCCGGTCAGGAATTCCTGACCGGAAGAGTACTCTCTCTCTCTCTCTCTCTCTCTCTCTTTCTATATATATATATATATATATATATATATATATATATATATATATATATATATATAGAATAAAGATCAAATGAGAACGGTGCTTAACGTGAGAACCCGTGAGAACCCCTGAGAATGGTGATATTTTTGGCTGAAATTTTTTGTGTATGTTCCTCATCAAATCTAGTTCATCCATACCAAATTTGAACAAAAAATTCAATCGGGAAGGTCGTCAAATGATTTTTGAAAGAAAACTGGTCCGGAACATACATATAAAACGCAATTTTCTTTCAAAAAATCATTTGACAACCTTCCCAATTGATTTTTTTTGCTCAAATTTGGTATGGATGAACTATACTTGATGAGGAACATACACAAAAAATTTCAGCTAAAAATACCACTGGTTCTAAGGGTTCTCATGAGTTCTCATTTTAAGAGGGGTTCTCACTAGAACCCTCCCCTATATATATATATATATATATATAGATATATATATATATATAGGAAATCTTTCCGGTAAGGTATACCTTACCAGAGCCGCCGTGTGGCCTCTGTGTTTTGAGGGCCTTCCCGGTGGAATTTTTCTATGAAATTTTTTGAGCATGTTTGTCATCAAGTCTAGTACATACATACCAAATTTCAGCAAAAAAATCATTCGGGAAGGCAGTCAAACGATTTTTGGAAGATAACTGCATTTTATATGTATATAAAGGGTGCAGTTATCTTCAAAAAATCACTTGTTTGTCTTCCCGATTGAATTTTTTGCTGAAATTTGGTATGGAAGTACTAGACTTAATGAAGAACATGCTCAAAAAATTCCACCGGGAAGGCCCTCAAAACGTGGAGGCCGCACGGCAGCTCCGGTAAGGTATACTCATATACCTTACTTGAAGAGTTCCATATATATATATATATATATATATATATATATATATATATATATATATATATATATATATATATATATATATATAATACGATAGTATATTAACTATAAATAGGGAAATAAAGTTAAATAATTTCTTATAGTATATATCTTTTTTGAATTTATCGCAAAATATTAATATTTACTATTTATATTATTTTATATATGTGAATATTTTGATATTTTCGAGTCGTATTTTATTTTATATTGTATTTTCTATTTTCTACTTCATATTTTTTTAATTTTCTTTTTCGAAATTTTGACACTTTAACGGTTGAGAAATGAGTTGAACTACTCAGATCGATCAAAGTCTGGAGCTTATTTGACCCTTGAGTTGCCACATCAGATGAATAATTGACACTTTATCGGGAGAGGTGGCGATGACCGGACATTTAACTAAAATGATTTAGCTTTAGCCCTTAATTTAATTAAAATGATTTATGTTGTGTATTTTATGAAACTTGAGTGTAGAAATTTATTTTAAAAAAAATCACAAGGAAAAAATAGTGGAGTACACAAGATTTGATTTTCTTTGGGACAACCTAATTTTGCAATGCCATGTTGACATGTTTGTATTGAATTGATTACCTTTAGATTAGATCGAGATCCGGTTTTTCCTACGCTTTTGTTATTAATCTGGTGCTGTGCATGGATCTAAATTGAGTTGGTTTGTTAGGCAGTCTCGTACCTTGTTGATTTTAGTGCACGAAATTTGTCTGTCTTTTAATTTAATTTGCCCGTGTTTTCACTTTTCAAATGGCGGCGGAACCATCATGGATCCAGTATCTAGAATCCAATTTATTTTACGTTTTAAATACTTTCGGTTACCTAACGTGGTGCTAATTACATTTTCTAATTTCAGCATCCCTTACGCTAAATCAATTGGATTCTAGACACTTCAATTCAATTTCTTATTATTGATTCATTCATGTAATAAATATGTTTTTCAATCCATGTAAATATGAAGATCATTGCAAAACACGTTATTATCAGTTACATAAATCTACTAGAAACATTTGAATTTATTCTTTATAATTTTTTTTGAAACCAATACAAGAGTAGGTATTTTAAAACAATGTAAAACTAAATATTCACATTTTAAAAGTACATATTTAAAACCTTCTAAAAATAAAGTTAAATATCTTTCAAATAATCGGGGTTCAAATATAGATGAATGTAAAATAAAATGTACTAATTTGTAGACTAAATACATATTTAAAAATGAAATTAAGTTTGATTTTTTTTAATTATGTAATGAATATAATTAATTCTTGATATGAAATAGTAAAAATATAGATCATTGATTCATTTTTCAGCTAAAAATGAAGTTGTCCTGGTGTGAATCCCATTGGGCAGAGTGATATGATCTTTACTCCATTTTATGCATGATACACAGATGAACCATTACGTTTGCGTAAGCACCAATATAGGCTCGTACGTGTGGTTAAACCCAACGTACGACACCATAACTTTATCAAAACATTGAGCTGAACATATAAAGGAAAAAATGAGAAATCGGAAAAAGAGCTTCTTGAAACAATAGAACTGGAAAATTGTGCTTTGGGGCATGGATGAAGAGTAAAGCAAGGATGTCCAAAGTCAGATTCTTGTACTAGAAGTCTGGGAATGTAAGAGATTTTGAAGTCTTCATCTACTTTAAAGCCAAGACATTGTTTAATTCCCCCGTTGTTTAATTCAAAACTTGTAATCACTCCATATAAAAAGTAAATTACATTGCCTTCTTTGGATTGATTATATGAACCAACTCAACCAAGTAACAGAAAGAACCAATTACAGCCTTAAATGATGGCAACAGGGATTTACAAGTTGGTTCTGGTTTTCACATTGGCAACTCTTGGATATGCTGAGAGGAGCTTATACGGAGATAATAGTTTTGGAATGGGGATTCAGGAATGTGAAACCGGCGAAGGAGATGGCATTGATGAGCTGTTAGACTTCCCATCATCATTTACAAGTCATCGTGGGAACAAAGTTGTTGTCAATGTGGATAGCTTTGGTGCTCTTGGTGATGGAGTTTCTGATGATACTCAGGTATCATTTTTTTTCATAGCGGCCCGTTCTGGTCCCAGTTTGATGGACCTTAATCAGAAGCGGGATGCCAAATCCAGTTCTGGACCCAATTTTGATGGACATTAATCGGAAGTGGGATGCCAAATCCAGTTCCGGTTCTTGGTCAACTTTTATGCTGTTCTTGAGCTTAAAATTTAGCTTTACAAACCGAATCCTGGTTCTAGAACTGAAAAATAATACGAGTCGAAAAGACCAATTGCCTGTATTTTCAGTTCCAGGAACCACCCAAACCTAGTTCTAGTTCCTCCAGATATATAGAACCATAACTACAACCGTCCCAGGTCCAAAACTACAACCGACACAACCAATTAAGGGTTCAATTCATCCCAGTCCTCCCCAGCTTATACTCGAAACCAGGCATATCCCCCACTACCGAGACCATTTCCAGTTCCTCCAAAATAGGACTAAACCAAGAACTGAATCCACAACTAAAACCAATCCGGCCAAGGTTCCTGTTCCCCCATCTAGGTACCCCGAAATAATCTGCCCTTTCCTACTAGGAGTCTAGGACTAGTTCTGGCAAAATTTCAAGCCAACCGACCGTCCATTCACCTTTCAGGTTATGTCTGAGACAAAAGACAGACCCTTCTGGTCTGCTTCCACTCCGGAACCAAGACCATGTCCTACACTAGGAAAGAGACGGGCGGAAATCCACCCAGAGATTACATCAAGCCAAGAAAGGGCTTTCCGATGTCATAACACGGGTTGTGCCTTTCACAGATCATATAATACGAAGAAAATCAACAAAACATATCTAATCTTTTGACCAAAGTCCAATCTAAGATACATTTAGCTCACATCTGGTCCGATATTAGTTGCATTTTATATTTCTGCAGCAACCAGCTGAACATCAATAGGATGAGTTGGGTGATTTTTGCATTCACAAAAAATAATTTATAGATTCTTTCTACACTTCTAGTGATGAAATTGTAGTCAAAATGCAGCTCTATGGTAACTAAGCTAACTTCAAACCGTATTGGTTTTTACAACATACCAGGCGTTCACAGACGCATGGACACAAGCTTGTTCTGCAGAACAATCAGTCCTCTTGGTTCCATCAGATCGCCGTTACCTGGTCAATGCCACGAGATTTAAAGGTCCTTGTGTGCGCAACTTAATAGTCCAGGTTGCACCCAAAAAAATCCATCATTTTTCTATTTTGAACACCTTTTTTATGGAATGGTTCATAAAATGATTGGAGATGCTCGAAACAGATTGAAGGAACAATTGTAGCACCGGATGAGCCTGAAAACTGGGATGCAAAAAACCCAAGAGTTTGGCTTGCTTTCTCAAACTTGCAAGCAGTCACATTCCAAGGAAAAGGGGTTCTTGATGGCTCTGGAAGAAAATGGTGGGCAGCCTCTTGCAAAAAGAACAAAACCAATGTAACTGTCAAAATACTCAGAAACTTGAATTTTAATTGAGTATATTTGATTGGTATTGCCATTTTCACCAAGTTTTATTCTCTTCCCTTTCTCAACAGCCTTGCAAAGGAGCACCAACGGTGAGGATACTACTTGTCCGTAAGCTTTTTTTTGGGGGGGAGGGGTAATTAAGTGTGTTTGGAACATAAAAAATTCTAGTAAAAGACAATATGGAGAAAAGAGTGTCAAGATAAAATTCTTGTTCGGACTCAATTTTTCAAAAAAAAATCCCTAAATGGGAGTAAAAACGGGGTGGTTTTCCTAAATAGGAGTGCTATGCTTTGTTTCCTAAATATAAGAGTAAGCACTGTCATCCTAGATCATACTGTCATATTATGGCAATTAAACTGCCTTATTGAAGCCTAATAATGCCATCAGATGGCGGTATTATTTCAGCTTAGCTGTACTTTACTCCTATTTAGAGAAAAACATAGTACTTCAGTTTAGGGAAATCACCTTGTTATTAACTTATTACTCATTACCCCTATTTAGGGAAACTTCCTTTTTTTGTTTAAACTGTTTATTAGTCTATTTCTAGTTTTATAGAGGCTATGATATCTAAATATATTTAAACAGTTAATAGATATTATTCATACCACTTTTGTTCTTTTTTACTTGCTAGGTTGCTCCACTTACCTTTTTGAAAATTTCTTATTACTTCTCCACTCCCCAATTTTGGATTATTCACTGTTATATTAAAAGATGCAAATAATCTTTTTTTTTCTTCTCACACTTTTCTCAATTTGCTCCGGCCTACGCTATTTACTACTTCTACAACTTTACTCTTAATTTCCATGAAAACGTATTGGAGCGACTTAATGTGAACCGAGGAAATATTTCATCTTCCTTCACATTTTTCATGATAAAAACAAACAAAAGAAAATAGTTTTCCTAGACATACTTTTTCCCTTTCCGTACCATTTTCCAGGAACCAAACATAACCTAAATATTTTGGATGACCTTACAAACTTGACATGTTAATTGCAGGCTTTTACTATAGATTTAAGTTCTGCTATTAAGGTTAAAGACCTTACAATTCAGAACAGCCAACAGATGCACTTCACCATATCTCGGTCAGAATCTGTGCGTGTCTCTGACGTAAAAGTTTCTTCCCCAGGAGACAGCCCTAATACAGATGGAATTCATATAACTGAGTCAAAAAATGTTGTACTCCAGAGCTGCCAAATAGGAACAGGTCCCCCAAACTAACCCTCTTTACCTACTACCTATTGTTAATTATATCCTAAAGTATATATGAAAAGACGCATACATGTTGGTGAAGAGCACACCGCTTAAATATCTAATGATCTTCCATTTCTCTATATATAGGTGATGACTGTATCTCAATTGTGAATGCTAGCACGAATATCATGATGAAGAAGATCTACTGTGGACCTGGCCATGGAATCAGGTGTAGATGCAATCAAACGTTTCACTTCATTTATTAAGGACTGTTTGCAGATTGTAGTGCATCGTGATGAAGCTGATCTATTGTAGACCTAAAGGTGGAATGATTCATACAGTAGTTCCCATAATAGTTTGTCTCATAATATAATTTTTTGTATGCCAGCATTGGGAGCCTTGGAAAGGACAACTCTGTTGGAATAGTGACAAAGGTGGCATTGGATACTGCCTTCATACGAAATGCTACCAATGGCCTTCGAATTAAGACCTGGCAGGTATTGATGTTCTTTCATTCATAGATTCCACATCATTTCCATATAATTACGGTTGTTAAAATAATAATATGCAAGTCCAACAAGAAAGCAAACATGGATCAAGGCACTTCAGTGTCAACATAAAGTCCAATTAGATCAGCTCCTTAATTCGAACTACTTGGGGTCTGTGGCATTAACCTTTTATAGCTAATCTATTGTATAATATAAACTACCACCTTCAATTCATGCAAAAAAAATGTGGCGATGCACACAAGATACCCCTTCTTTTTAAGAAGGATTGAGTTAAAGTAAAAAAATCTATAACAGTCATCATCAAACATCATTTCCATGTACTTTAAAAGCATCATGAAACCTCAATGTATTTAAATATTCTTTATTGTCATGATGATCCATTACATGATTGATATTGAAAAAGGCCCACAAATTAAAAAAAAAAACTATTAAAACAAACTTGTTTCTGAAAGTGGTGCTGGTTTCAACTATATTTACTAAGCACAAACTTTGCTCTATTATGTCCTTATTTTGCAGGGAGGGTCTGGTTATGTCCGCACAATACGTTTCCAGAATGTAATGATGGAGGATGTATCCAACCCCATCATCATTGACCAATTTTATTGTGATTCTCCAAAATCTTGCCAAAACCAGGTACAACTAACTCAGGCTAAAGAGTTTGAAGGAACTATAAAAAGAAATCTTATAGCATTAACGTTCATTAATAAATAACAGCTGTTTCTTTCCTATGTGAAAGACATCTGCAGTACAAATAAGTGGGATTGTTTACAAGAACATCAGTGGAACTTCAAAGAGTCAAAATGCAATGAAATTTGCATGTAGCAACAGTGTACCTTGTAGAAACATTGTGTTGAACAACATTAACCTGGAGACTAGAGATGGCACTGCCGAGGTCTACTGCAACTCCGTCACCGGAATTGGCTATGGATATGTACATCCGTCTGCTGAATGTCTCAACTCATCTGAGCAGAAAGTTATGCAGCACATAGAGGCTGAGCTAGCAGAAAAGAATAAATTTGTCCACCTTATTCATACTGAGCTATAAGAGCTTCTGATGAGATATTTTCTTGAAAACACATTATTATTTTTTCTTTAGTTTACTATTTTGCCTAAGTTGCTAAATCATTACTAGGTGTCTCGGTAGCTGTACAGTCAAAATTAAGACCGTTTGCTTCGAAATACTCAGTGACTACTTGGTCTTGTATTAGTAAAAGTAATAACATGAATGCTACAGGCTTCTAATAACAATGGTCTTAATATAATGTTATAAATAAATGAAAAACAATAAAGATTCCCAAAGCAAAAAACTGCACCACACAGTGTGAGAGATTCATGGAAAGAAATAAAAAGTTTAATTTTAAGGGTACCCTCAAAATAAAAGGAAAGGGTATGAAAAGTTTACTACGATCAGACAAGTCGAACTGTTCGACCAAGGGTATGAATGGAAAGAAATAAAAAGTTTCTATTGTTGCATATTTCAAACTACCTGAAAAGAAATTGAGATCATACCAAAGTCTACTAAAACAGATTTATACCTCTTTTTATCTCTTCTTCCAGGCATGATGCCCATGCTATAGGGCTCCACTTTGATTCCTCCAATTGTTTGAGACAGAATAAATTTCCTTTAAGAACTCTTCTATGGTATTATAAAAAAATAGAAGTAAACAACAAACATACAAGCCCATTTCACATAATTTCGTGAACCAACCAAAACAAACATACCCAATATGTCCTACTTGGATGTAGGTCCCGAGGAGGATGAGATCTATTCACACCTTACATAGTTACATCTATCCCAAGTAGTAGAAAGGTTGTTCCTGTGAAGATTTCATCTAAAAAAAATACAAAGTTTTGAGGTGGTAAAAACTTAAATATTAGTGATCTCTTGGGAAACTTTGAAAATTTTGTAAATGATTGAAGTAATAGTAAAATGCATCCAATGGCAAAAAGTAGTGTGAATAATGTGGTAAAAACTGTTTAGACAATAATTTTACATGATTTCATGAACAAACCAAAACAAACACACCCAATATGTCCTAATTGGGTGTAGATCCCGAGGAGGATGAGATCTATTCAGACCTTACATAGTTACATCTATCCCAAGTAGTAGAAAGGTTGTTCCTGTGAAGATTTCATCTAAAAAAAATTGCAAAGTTTTGAGGTGGTAAAAACTTAAATATTAGTGATCTCTCGGAAAACTTTGAAAGTTTTGTAAATGATTGAAGTAATAGGAAAATGCATCCAATGGCAAAATGTAGTGTGAATAATGTGGTAAAAACTGTTTAGACGATAAACACCAACTAAAGAAGACATATAACAACTTCAAAAAGGACAGACAACATCGAGAGTAAGAGAATACAAAAAATTGGGTAGAAACATGACACACATGATAATCAAGAATACGAAGAATTACAACTAAAAATGCAAATCAAGTTATGGTCCATTCAATTTGTTAACTTACATTAGCTTCGCGCAAATTCCAATAGAGAAAGCATGTTTTAACTTTTGATTTCCACATACCACACATCCTACACTCTCAAACCACCAAATATTATGTCACATAGTCTTTCCTCCTTTGTAAGCTCTTTGTTATGGTACTCAGCTTCCAAGATTTTCTTTTCCTTCCTGTAGATTTCTAGCTCACCAGCTCTGCCATTTTCTTCAAGGCCATTTAATAGGACGGAGTATGTTCCTAAAGCAACATTTATCCCTTCCTTTTTCATCATTTCAAATGTTTCAAGTCCTTTGTTAGCATTAGCAGACGAGAAGTAAGCACGGATTAGACTAGTGTAAACAACAGTGCATTTTTCTTCATAAGGCAGCAGGCAAAATACCTTCTCAGCAAAAGCATGGCCATTTGAACAGCCAAGCCTTTGTATTAGAAGAGCGCTAAGTTGTGAACCCAAAGTTTGTCCAGCACCTAAAATTGCTTCAATAACCTCAACTATTCTCTGAAAAGAATTTTGTCTGACAAGTACACCGATTAAAGTTAGATATGTGGTTTTCTCAATGTCTATGCCAAGTTTTTTGCAGAAATCAAATGCTAATAAAGCCCCATTTTGTCTCCCACAGTTACAATTTGCCTCAATAATACTTGAGATGATTCCAGAGTCCAATCCAAAGCATTTCCCCAGCAAATCAGTTATCACATGATCAATGGCTATCAAGTTATGCTTGTTCAACAAATACATGACAAGTTTTTCTTCAAACTTGAATCTGACATCCATAGTAGTGGAATTAGATTCAAATGGCTGCACCTCCTGATTGCAATGATATGATGAAAAGTGACGGTTAACTTGCTTAAGAAGAATAACATCGCTCACGCCTGACATATTTAATATTTCAAGAGCCTCCTGATACACTGAGTAACGAAGGACAAGAGAGTTATTTTTCATGTACTCAAGAATTTTCCTCATGGTCCTTGTTTCCCTTGCTTTGCAGCATTTCTCAATCAAAATATTGCATGTAGCTTTGTCTGGTTGTACCCCTGCTTCTTGCATTTTATTAAAGATATCTACAACTTTATCAAACTTTCCTGAATATGGCGAAATAGGAGGATATAATTATGCTATACAAGTGTACAGCTGGAAAATGTTTCAACTATTGTAAATCAAAGCTATGAATAAATCATGCCAATCATGAGAGGGGCGGAGCCAGAAAAATGACTCAGTGGGGTCGAAATCAAATTTACATAGAATCAAAATGGTAGATTACTTTTAGACAATACCCGAATTGAATGTAGCTTAGATAAATGATAATTTAAATGAAACTAATAGAGCATATGTGGTTAATATACTTCGTATATGTCACATATATTATAAACATGTTTTATATGGGTTGAGTTGAGTACCTCGGATGAGACCCATTGTCTTACCCTAGTACTCTATGGTTCTCTTCGATCTTACTCGGTTTAGTATCAAGATTTCTTACTAGAAAAGAATCATTTATTGAGTAGGCACTCGTAGCAGTAAGATATGTTGTATTTGCTCTGTCCCTAAGTCATGTCCCGTAAGTAACGAGTGAATTACACGCTATTTTGTGAATATAATTAATATTACGCATCACAATTTTACTAATTTCAAACATAAATAGTGCTGATTTTGCAGAAGTCATAACTTTTTACTCGTAATGAGTTACGAGAGTCATAATATATCAAATCGAAGATATTTCAGAGCTCTACAATCTTAAATTTTCAGCGGGGTCGGCTGACCACCCTGACCCCCAGTAGCTCCGCCCCTGAATCATGAACAACACTCTTCAGAGCTCGACTTCATCAGATCTTATTAAAGTAGGTAAGCTTAACTCATGCTTAATAATATCCAACTCACTAGCCAGTGAACAAGCTTGTTGTAGGCAAATACGCTAGTTCATAATCATAATATAATAAAATATGAGTTTATCATTGAAGTTGTAAGTTATACGTAGTATATTCTATCCTTCTTTTAATGAATCTAGAAATATCTCACTATTTATTCGTGAATCTAGAAATGACTCACAGTATTTAAATAACTCAAAGATTCATTATATTTTGGCTTGATATTATGATGGAATAAAGCAAAATGGCTCACTAAACTGTCTGCTCTTCTTTGTTATGAAGCAGTAGTCAGTCCATGCAATTTTGGACGCGATTTTCACTATGGGTCATCCGGAAACAGTCTCTGTGTGCTTTAGTACAGGGGTAAGATTGCGTACATCCGACCCCCCTTACCCCACCGTAGGTGGGAGCCTTTGCGGCACTGGGGTAAATGAAAATGATGAATGAATGAAATGATTTAAGTAAATGTATTATACTTTTTGAATAACATATACTTTTGTAATTACTGAATTAAAGAAGACCCTTTATCCAAAACAAGTTCTAGCATTCCTTATTTGGATGTCCTAAAAAGAAGTAGTTGTTTCCATGATATGAAAATTTTAATATGCAAATGTGACTATTACCCTTAAGTTTTGTTCAATAATTCAATTTAACATTAAGCAAGGTTATACTTGAAAAGTCAAAACAAAAACCTATCTTGTGTAAATATGTGCTAGGTCAAAATGTGAACTTCTTTTTGGGACAAAAGTAGTGTGTGTGCATGTGTGTGCATGCCCAGCTCGTTTAGACTTGAAGTATGTTTGCTAACCAGGAATAAGAGAACAAAACACAATCTGTAACAAATCAAGCAGGCCTAACAATCAATAAACAAATCATTGCCTTGTATGCCATAAAGATTGAAACAATTAAAAGTGGATCAAGAAAGAAATATTTTCATTTTTCACCTGTGACGGCTAAATGCTCCATAAGGATTGTGTATGTGTGGCAATTGGGAGAACAACCGGATTGAATCATCTCTTTGTACACCTCAGCACCCTCCCTAACAAGCTTGTGGTCAAACAAAACTTTCATGTATGCTGTATAGGAGACGACAGTAGGACAGCAGCCCTTCTCTCTCATCTCCTTCCAAAGCTTCATAGCCCCTTCAACATCCCCAATGTTGGAGAGCCAATGCAGAATAGATGTATAGGTAACCACATCAATCTTGATGCATTTTTCTTTCATTTGGCTGAAAAGATACATCATTGACGAAACCCTCCCAGCTTCCCCAAATATATCCAGCATAGTCGTGTATGTATACTGGTCATGCTTAAACCCTGTGAGCTTGGAGGCCCAATTGAAAAACAGCCAAGCCTTCTCCATTGGCGGATGAGTCTTGAGAACCTGGTTGACAGTATATGAATCCCATTTTTTTACTGGAAGCTTTTCTAAATGCCCTTGAGCAGAATCCCAAGTTGAGTATCTCAATATATTTGATATTCTAGTTACTAAATCCCTCATGTAAACATTAACCTTCTCCGAGTTTTCATATTTGTTGACTGACTTCACAGATTTAGCTAGCCTATGGGGTTTCTTCCGTCTCGATTCTTCAAGGCAGTGTATGTAACTGGAGAAAATCTTAGAGGACCTTGAAATGGTGCTACTAGCTGAAATGCCCACAAAAAGTCGAAGCTTTTTCATACATCGAAGGGCACCATGCGAAGGAAACATAAATAAACTCACCGGGGAAAAAAACCTAGAAACCCAATGGTGAGTTTGATATCTTCTGCAAAATTATGGGGCGGGGGAAGTAACTAGTAAGTAGTAAGTGGGGAGTTCACTTGATGGATATATTCAGCTCATCCGGTTTCAGAGCCACCCGTTAATCCGTTATGCTCTCCTGCAAAGGTGTACCTCAGAAACAGAAGTTATGCTTGGCCTCAAGGCTTACCGATGTTATCCACAAACAGAAGTACAAATCAAAATTAGTTTTTGAGGAGTTGGTTAGGGGTGAGCAAATAACAGATATAACCGATGTAACCGACTACCGATAACCGAACCGAACCGAAAATATTATTTTCGGTCGGTTATCGGTTATTTTTTGTTAAGAATATCGGTTTTTCGGTTTTTCGGTTATTATACGGTTTTAATTCTCGGTTATCGGTCGGTAACCGATAACCGGTCTACAACCTAATAAATTAATAATACCAATACTATACTAATAATTACTAATAATATAAAATCTCCAAGGCCCTAAAACGTAACCAATAGCCCACTAACCCAGCCCACTAAAACTACTCCAGAAGCACTAAAACATTAAACGTAACCTATTACTTCAGATTCCAGAAGGCAGAAGCACCAAACCCTAAATACGAAGTTATGAACTAAGCGGCGTTGAGCATCTGGATAGTGGAGAAAGTGGAGATCGATGGAGGGATTTGAGGAGGGGGACTATGAGAGGACGAGATACGGAGATACTGAGATCATTTAACTTCATTGCCAGCTTTGTTCTTTAGTCCGTAATTACTTCGTATAGGTGATACCAAGGTAATGTCATCTAACTTCGTTAATTCGGTACCTATTTAGGTTTCTTCTCCTGTTCTCCCATTCTTTAATACTCCGTATGATATATATCTTCTAATTTTTGATCGAAGCCCTAGCAAAGTCAAGAAGCTGAATCTTAGGTAGGTTTTTTTTATGTACACCAGGCTTAGGTAGTTAATTTGTACTGAGTTAGTGGTTGATTGATATTACATGCTATGGTAATTTAAATCAAAAGTAATGTGTTTGTATGTTATATTACTTGTAACTGGTTAATGTTGTTTATTTGTATAGTAAATTAGTAACTGATTATTAGTTATGGTTGCTAAGATATGCTTATTCAATATGTTGGGTGATGAAGATGACATTTGATATTCAAGGGACTTCTGCTAATGTAAGTGCTTGTTAAGATATGGTAGATCAGAATCCTAACAAAGATGACACCTACAATTTTAGTTATTTTACTATATAATAACTAATGCACACTTTCATAAAGTGATATCTTATTATCTTTACTAATATTAATATAGTTTAAGTAAGTAATACCCTTAACATATTGTCTTAAAACTAGTAGTTTGGCCCCTACTGGTCCAATGTCATCTTCATCCCTAATTTAATTTTACAAGCTTTGGACCTGTTAAGATATGCTAGATCAGAATCTTAACAAATATGATACCTACAATTTTAGTTATTTGACTATATTATAAGTAATGCACACTTTCTTAAAGTGATATCTTATTATCTTCACTAATATTAATATAGTTTAAGTGGGTAATACTTTCATTACTTTTTTATTGAATGAGCAGGCTCAATGGAATCCGAGTCTATATCAATGCTTGAACAGCCTCAAGCACGAGAGGAGATCAATATAGTTACCCAAGGACAAAAGGCGACAAATACAGATCAAGGAGAAGAGGAGACAAATGTTGCTGCCCGTAACAGACCAACAAAGAAACGTAAGGCTACACGAGCAAAGTCTGATGTATGGGAGCATTTTGTTCCTTTCAAGACTGCTTTAGGCGAGAAAAAGGCTAGATGTAAGGGCTGCGGCAAGGAACTTTTCGCTGATTCTAAGTCTAATGGAACTAGTTCCTTGAGAGCTCACGTACGAAGCTGCGCAGGACTTAAAGGTAAGAAGGATTCTTCTCAAACTGAACTAATCTCATCCATTGATGGTGAAGGGTCATTAAGTTATGGGAAATATGATGAGAGTAAGATTAGAAGGGCTATGTCTGAGATGTTTATTATAGATGAGTTGTCTTTTAAGTTTGTTGAAGCAAAGGGGTTTAGGAAATTCATGTTCGCTGCTTGTCCAAGGTTTAGGGTTCCTTCGCGTTGGACTGTTGCTAGGGACTGTTACAATGTTTATCTACAAGAGAAGAAAAAGTTGTGTCATTTACTCCAAACCTCTTGCCGTAGAGTTTCCCTTACCACCGACTGTAACACTTGAGATTTAATATAAATGGATTAATAGTACTACTCATACCAACAGAGGTGCATCTCCTTTTAAGGGAGCTCATCACCCAAGAACTCCAAAGTTAAACGTGCTTGCACGGGAGTAGTCTTGGGATGGGTGACCCCCTGGGAAGTTTCTCAGGGCGCGCATGAGTGAGGACAAAGTGCGCGGTAAAGGCTCGTGGTGGTTTGTGAGGACAGTACTAGTGGTTCAGAGTAACTACCTCGGGTCTCACAGGGCCGGGGTGTTACAGGTGGTATCAGAGCAACCCTGCGACCGTGTGCTGACCCGTTAGATATCGGGCGGGCACTTAGCAGGGCAAGATTCTGGGATTGATTGAGAATTGAGATTGGTTTATGGGCGCAACGAGGACGTTGCGTACCTAAGTGGGGGTGATTGTAACACTTGAGATTTAATATAAATGGATTAATAGTACTACTCATACCAACAGAGGTGCATCTCCTTTTAAGGGAGCTCATCACCCAAGAACTCCAAAGTTAAACGTGCTTGCACGGGAGTAGTCTTGGGATGGGTGACCCCCTGGGAAGTTTCTCAGGGCGCGCATGAGTGAGGACAAAGTGCGCGGTAAAGGCTCGTGGTGGTTTGTGAGGACAGTACTAGTGGTTCAGAGTAACTACCTCGGGTCTCACAGGGCCGGGGTGTTACACCGACACATGGACTTCTTTGCAAAAAATCAATTATATGTGTCTTACTCTACATTATATAGATAATGACTGGAAGCTTCACAAACGTATAATTAACTTTTGTCCCATATCCAGTCATAAGGGGGAAGATATTGGTAAAGCGGTTGAAAAATGTTTGCGGGATTGGGGAATAGAAAATGTTTTCACCATTACTGTGGACAATGCTAGTTCAAATGATGTCGCGGTAGGGTATTTGCGAAACAAATTCAACAATTCGGGTAGATCTATTTTAGATGGGAAGTTTCTTCACATGAGATGCATTGCTCATATTGTTAATTTAGTCGTCAAGGATGGCTTGAAGCAAATGGATGAATCAGTGAGTCGTGTAAGAGGAGCAGTTAGGTTTGTGAGGCAGTCACCGGCTAGGCTTGAAAGGTTTCGAGAATGTGTTGTTTTAGAAAAGATTGAGTCCAAGTCATTGTTGTGTCTGGATGTGTGCACCAGGTGGAATTCTACCTATCTAATGTTAAGTGCAGCTCAAAAATTTGAGAGGGCCTTTGAGAGTTATGAGGATGTTGATCCTCATTACCTTCATGATCTAATGAATAGTGATGGTCCTCCTGAGCACAGTGACTGGGAAAATGTTAGAACGTTGTCCTTGTTCTTACAACAGTTTTATGGTCTTACCGTGAAAGTCTCTGGTTCGTTGTATGTCACTTCTAACTGTTACTTTTCAGAAATTTGTGAGGTTTATTGTACTGTGAATGAATGGGCTAAGAGCAAGGACTTGAAATTGAAAACAATGGCTGAACAAATGAAGGAGATGTTTGATAAGTACTGGGGAGATGTTGAGAAAATGAATATGTTTTTATATGTTGCAACTGTGCTTGATCCTAGACGTAAGTTTGTATATGCAGAATTTTGTTTTAAAAGGATGTATGTTCCTGATAATGCATCTGCCTTGACTGCCAAACTTAAACAAATGATGATAGATTTGTTTAATGAATACAAAAGGTTGCAAGATCCTTCATTTTCCTCTTTAGGAAGTGAGCATTTCATACCAGGTCAAAGCAATAGGGAGCAGGCAACTTCATCATCTCCTAGTACAAATCAAGTGAAAGAGAAAGGTGTTGATAGTGACTTTAAAAAGTATTTAGCCACAATGGGTTGTGTGAATCAAAAGACAGAATTAGATAAGTATCTTAGTGAAGACCTTGATGAAAGTGATGATAAGTTTGACATTCTGATATGGTGGAAAAGAAATGGTCATAGGTTTCCCATCCTTTCATGCATTGCTCGTGATGTATTGGCAATGCCAATATCCATTGTTGCTTCTGAATCGGCATTTAGCACCGGTGGACGTGTCATTGACAGTTACAGAAGTTCACTCTCTCCCAGGGTTGTGCAAGCTCTAATTTGTGCTCAAAGTTGGCTACGAACTGAAAATGAGGATACTTTTGATGGTGAAATGGAGTATGAGACTGCTCAGATTGATAAGGTTGACTTAGGTATGACTTTCTTTACTTTATGCACTTATAAACTGTCATAGTGTTATATCCTTGTTGATTATTACTTTTAGAATTTCTTTTGAACACTTTCTTCCAGATTTGTCAAAGCTTAGCCTTGAAGTTGTTATTGATCAGTAGAAGTACAAATCTGAAGCCTCCAAGTTATACTCAGGTTATATAGAATATAGTAGCCTCTGCACATTCTTAACTTTTACCAATATAATGGTAGCATCAAGTGTACTTTTGTTTAAGAAGTGAATATATGTTGTTTATTTAATTAGCTTTACTTCATTTCTTTTTGCAGGAAGATTATTGTGTAAAGTTTTTGTTAAGTGCAGCTATATGTGATCTCATAGACTCATGGTATGTTTCATAGTTCAAATTATATAATTGAAATATGAACTAAGATGCTATCCCTTGACATTTTCATACTCTTGAAAGTTTATGAAACTGATTGCTTTATACTAATATATAGGGTACTATAAATGTAGCGTGAATTAGATTCGATATTATAATAAGCCTAAATATAAAAATAATGTGAGGAACTTCTATGTAAACTCTGCTCCACCCTTTGAGGTTTGTACATTAACATAATCATTGCCTCTGTATCAATGTGTTTATGTACCTTTTTATCAATACAGTTTGCTGCATTTTGTTGCAGTTTGAGTGTTTAGATATTTCAGCTATTGGTCATTTTATTATATCACACACACACTTATCCTACCCCTCGGCTTATAATTATACAGCTACGAAAGAAAGAGAACAATATCACCTCCCATG